TCTTTCTTTCCAAGGTCAAAGACCAATACCTGAAACAAGCCAGTGCAACTATCTACACGACCATCATGAAATAACCCTACCCAGATGAAGTTTAACACAGACTCATCATGAAGCAACCCTACCCAGGTTCCTTCTCATGCATTTCCAGATACGATTTGACCTGGACTTATCTTGAAGTAACCCTACCCAGGTTCCTTCTCATAATTTCCAGATGCAGTTTTACACGAACTCATCTTGAAGTAACCCTACCCAGGTTCCTTCTCATAATTTCCAGATGCAGTTTTACACGGACTCATCCAGAAGCAACCCTACCCAGGTTACTTCTCATAATTTCCAAATGCAGTTTTACACGGACTCATCCTGAAGAAACCCTACCCAGGTTCCTTCTCATATAATTCCAGATGAAGTTTAACACAGACTCATCGTGAAGCAACCCTACCTAGCTTCCTTCTCATTCCTAAATGTAGTTTTACCCTGACTCATCCTGAAGCAACCCTACCCAGGTTCCTTCTCATAATTTCCAGATGCAATTTTAGACGGACTCATCCTGAAGCAAATCTATCCAGGTTTCTTCTCATACAATTCCAGATCAAGTTTAACATGGACTCATCATGAAGCAACCCTACCCAGGTTCCTTCTTATTCCTAGATACAATTTTACCCAGACTCATCATGAAGCAACCCTACCCAGGTTCCTTCTTCTACCCAGATGCAATTTTACCCAGACTCATCATGAGGCAACCCTACCCAGGTTCCTTCTCATTTCCAGATGCAGTTTTACCCGAACTCATCATGAAGCAACCCTACCCAGGTTCCTTCTCATTTCCAGATGCAGTTTTACCTGGACTCATCATGAAGCAACCCTACCCAGGTTCCTTCTCATTTCCAAATACAGTTTTACCCTGACTCATCATGAAGCAACCCTACTCAGGTTCCTTCTCATTTCCAGATGCAGTTTTACCTAGACTCATCATGAAGAAACCCTGCCCAGGTTCCTTCTCATTTCCATATGCAGTTTTACCCGGACTCATTATAAAGAACCCCTACCCAGGTTCCTTCTCATTTCCAGATGCAGTTTTACCTACACTCATCATGAAGCAACCCTACCCAGGTTCCTTCTCATTTCCAGATACAATTTTACACTAACTCCTCCTGAAGCAACCTTACCATGAAGTTTCACATGGATTTATCCTGAAGCAACCCTACCCAGGCTACCCTCTCATATGTCTCCTATGGCAGCCCTACACAGGCCCATCATAAATTAAAGAATATTTAAGACCTCTACTGGTTCAGTTTAAATCTCTCAATGGTTTATCCTGATTCCTTTCAGGTAGACATTTTCTCTGGTTCAAATAAATTGCTCCAAGATTTATTCAGGTTCTTTTCTAGACCTCTGCTGGTTCAGTTTAAATTGATCAATGGTTTATCCTGATTCTTTCCCAGTAGACACTTTCCCTGGTTCATACAAATTACTCCAAAGATTTATCTTGATTCTTTCCAGTTAAAGATTATTCAAGACTTCTGTTGGTTCAGATAAATCGCTCCAAGATTTATTCTGATTCTTTTCCAGTTAAATTCAAACTTAGACTTAGTCTAATTGCTGTCAACAATCATCTTTGGATGGAATCTATAAGCCCATCTCCAACAACTATCCATCATCTCTCCAAATGGCATCTTTAAGCCCATTCCCTATACAATCAACTAACACATCATCGAGTGCAAATTTCTGGGCACTTTAGTGTTCAATCATCTTCCACATTCAAGCTACAAACGGCGATGAGCCATTCTCACTTTTTAGGTTCAAGAAGATTGAACGGGGGCAGTTGTTGTACCCCAAAATTTGCCCTCTCATTTTCTCAAGATTTCTCTCGCATGTGTGATTACAAAAACCTGTTTAAAGAAATAAAGAAAATGTAAAATTTTGAAGATGTTAATGTGCCTTTCGATTAGGTCAAAAAATAAACAAGTTGGCTTCGATTTAGCAAAGTTCAATTGGGCAATGTAGTTTCGCTTCAGTCACAAGCTTCGATTTGGGCATTGGCTTCCTTCGAAGTAACCCCCTTCGATCCACAAACAGGGCATATGACTTCCTTCGAAGGAACCTCCTTCGATCCACAAGCTAGGCACATGATTTCCTTTGAAGTAACCTCATTCGATCCACAAGTTGGGAAATTGAACCCTTCGAAGCAACGTACTTAGATTACACTTATAAACTCTTCAACACTATGAATTATAATTGGTGGATTTGAAGGACATATAATGGGTCCATTCGAAGAACACACATTGTTGGAAACGAATGTTGTTGATGAGTCTGGGCGAAGTGATCAAAACGAAAGGGTGAAGTATTCAAGATGTTTGTTGACCAAAGCCCTATATACTGCCAAGCCCAAGCCAGTTGTACTGCTATGCAATAGTCCTGCACCAAGCTACCACAACACTCCAAAATATTGCTGAGCCTGCATTGTCTCATTCCCATACTTACACAAAAAGGGTACATAAGAGCTGCATTGAAGAAAAAAAGGGGACAATATACCCAAAACTGTTCAAATGTTATTTGTCCCCCCCCCCCAAACCACAACAAAGCTCATATATAAATAAACTATTCTTCACAACATCAAAAGGGGCTGGAGACGCTGAGAGGAGAGAAATGAGAGATGGGAAACAAAATAGAAACCTTTATAATTTTTTCTCACTTAAAAATCAACTCGACTTTCACATACAAACACAAAATCAAAATCCATTATCTCATCTTTCCAACTCTTATAAGTCAACTATGCAGAACACCCAACACATAGAAGTTTGTTCAAACTCAAGGACAATCTTCTGTGACAACTCTTCGAACCAAAAGCAAACCCCCTGTGACAACTCTTCGAGTTCCAGAACCGTCCAGGCAGTAGTTTAAGTTCGAAACTCACACACCAACTTTAAGGTAAGTCTTTCTGACTTTAACTCTTTCATTTCAAGCATCTTTATTGATTCATCTTTGAGGCCAACATGTAATAACCATGGCCTTCGATGTTAATCTTTTGTGTTTTCCTTTAAGAACTAATCTGTATAGTCCCTAAAAAATGTTGGAGTAAAAAAAACATGCATACTTCGATACAAAGCCTTTAGGCTTCGACAGGCTCAAACAGAAAGGAAAAGAATGTGTGCTTTGACACACACCCGTTCGTTGCATACATGCTTCGATACACCTACTTCGATGCACACACATGCTTCGACACATACATGTTCATCACACACACATGCTTCGATACACACTTGCTTCGAACACACTGACTTGCAGGCCCAAATGAAGGAAAGCAGAAGGGACATGTGAATGGAAGGACCTACACTTCGAATCACATTGGTTTCGATTTGGAGAAATAGGGTCAAAGGAGAGCATGTTTCAATGCACACATGCATGATTCGAAATATGCCTTAACACTGGAAATCAAAGGATTTACTTTCCTTTATTTTTGCGCTATTCTTTTCACATGTTTTCATATTTTTGCTTCATAGATTATTTCGATATAGTTGTAATATTTAGACATTCGCTTCATCCATCTTGTAAGTTGTACCCCCACTCCCCTACTATTGTAATAGTGTAGGATTTAATTTTTCCGCAAACTTACCGCCTTTCATTGCTAGTAAAATAGGGTGTGGCAAGATAAAAATAAATCATTGAAAACTCTAACAAAAAACAATGCATTGAATCAAACACACTTACACACTTACACCTCTAAGGTAACTCTCGCTTGTTGCCTCGGAAAATAGTCACGTCCCTCGAATATGGGACGCTTTAGCAAAGACCCTTCGATAAAAAGATCATAGTCCCTCAATGACCCTTCGATGTTGCCTTCGATAAAACGATCTCGTCCCTTACGAAAATTGCTAAAGTGTCACATAAGTTGCCTTCTATGACTATACAAACGTCTCATGCTCGTCCCTTCATATCCAATGATGGGGCTTATTACTAAAACAATGGTAAGATATCAACATATAAAGGAGGAGGAAAAGAACACTAAAGACCTTTTGAGTAGGTAGGATGCTCCCAGTTGCTCGCTTGCTCTCAACAAATACATTTTATACACCCACACTTTCATTTGAAACATTTTCAAAAGTTAAAACACTTTGTATGCATTCTTATAGAAACGAGAACCATTACAAAGACACCTTTTCAAAATCACTTTCAAAAACACATTCCACAAACACCTCTTTGAACTATTTTCAAAACAACACTTTGTACGCGTTCTTATAGAAATGAGAACCATTACAAAAACATTTTTAAAATACTTTCGAAACCCACACCACAAGCACATTTTTAAACAAAAGCAAGTGATCTAGCAAGCAACTAAGAGCCCGTAGATAACTGTAGATGAAAAGGGTGCTAACACCTTTCCTTTTCATAACCTACCCCCCGAACTCAAGGAATAATCTCGAAAGGTCTTTCCTGTTCTTTTCAACCTTTCCTTTTGGATAAAAGAAAAGTCGGTGGCGACTCTTGCTATCTGCAACAATTGAAATCAAATACAAAACACCCAAGTCAGTTCTCCCACCGTGTTATAATCGTGAGATATGAAGAGAATACTAATACCATATAGAGAAAGCATATATGAATTGAAAATTATTTAAGAAGTTTAAATAATGTACAAACTATTATTTTCTGACACCATTGAAAACATAATATAAACAATTAATTCACATCTATGTTTAAGTTGATGAAACAACATCGGTTATTGAGTATATTAAAAACATGATTTGCATTAGTTCGGGACACATACTACTAAAATGATGTGATAGTAATAGACAAAGATATACTATGTGCACAACGCGGTAAAAAATTAAAAATAATTAACCATAATATAAGATGGAGTTCGACAATCCTCAAACATTATTAAAGAGATGAAACTATTTTTTTTTTGAAACAGGTCCAAAGTATTCAAAGCAATAAACTACAAATAATCAGATTGGTTTCTTCAAAACTAACAATAACTTAACATAAGATAAGTGTGAATCTAACTACTTCCCCTTCTTTATATCCTTAATTAACTTGGTTGAGGAAAGTTGGACATTCTCAATATCTTCAACAACATCAGGTAAAGTCCATTTTGATGGAGTCAGGCTTGAATTTCCAACAACAGGGTCATAATCGGCAGATGCAAATAAAGGTTTTTGTTGGCAATATGGATATAATATATCAGCATTAAACAATGTATGGAGATTTGTGTTTTATATAGAGTGTTCAGGTTTACATTAATAACTTACAGTAAGGGATATTGGTTCATCTTGGGATGAAGGCTCCGTTGGTAGAAGCTTTGAAGTAGGCTGCCAAGACAAAATAATATCAGTCCAATTAATTCAAGAGTGTTCAGCCATGATATTTTTGTGCTTACACTGAGATTACTTCTTCTGAGCGAAAACTCCATCTAACTCTCTTACGAAAATCTTCATCAATTTTGCAACTAACCACATAAAGTCGGCCTTTATTAGGCTGAAAAATATCCCTAATAGCCAATTCTTGCTTTAGGATTGCATCAAGTGCATAAGGGAATTCAAGCGGATCATCTTCACCGACCTACATAAACTTAATGAACTGTATTACCCAATTTTTTAAAAAGAATCAAACTTAATAAAGTGTCATTATATACCTCTATCAATTCATTTTTCATTTGAAGAGCAGACTTCCCAATCAACTTGACGCAATCTTTGTCCCAAAAAATGAATTTGGCCTTGTATTTACCGTCAACAACCAAAACTTCGAGTTTATATCTATAAGAAAATCAAAAACCATGAATGTAATGCCACCAAAAATTGAAAACCATGAATCCTAAATAGAGATACACACAATACTTAGTACATGCTCTGGACTAATGTGTTTGGAATAACAAACTAACTTTCCATCCTACAGTGACACAATTTTTGTGCGATCGACACATCCATCATAATACCAACCTGACTGTCCAACCTCAAATTTGTCCAAAGTCGCAACAGTAACACATGTAGTCTCCTGATAAAATGATGAATGTTATAGTTAGTTTGATATATTTCTTAATCTTAATGTGATTATACAATGAAACATGTCTTACACGTTGCAGAGTTGTTATTTCAGCAAGACTTAAATTTTTTGCCTTCCACACAAACTTATCAAACTCAGAATAATATGACTTTTATGTTGTGTCCACTTGAAGACTTAATGAAGATAATAATGCCAATTCAGACTTCAGACCGCATGAAATATAAGACAAATTTTCATAATCAGTTTGACGTGTAATACGTTAACAAAACCATATGCTACAACACGATAATTAAAATGAGTTCATCAAATACCTGTCTCAGAGTTTGCTAACTTCATCAATGGTAACATCATTAATCAGTAACTTTGTGTCGTTCCAAGCGTTAGAGATGTTCAAAGGAAACCCTCCTACAAGTTTCAGTTATTCTTTAGAACATACTGCTGTAAAGAACATAAGGATAATATTTGGTGTTACATAATTTTGGATTTGCATTTAGTCAAAAAATTTGAAAGTGTCAAACCTTGAGCCTCCTTAATTATGGCATTAATCAGCAAAACAACTATATTACCATCTTCCTTATGACTTTTATAATAATCGTGAAATTGTATGGCAAGTTGACCCCAAAGAGTACATTGTACTTCAGATCTGATGTTTTGTAAAACATATTAACATTATTAATATGATGATGTTAGTTTAGTTAATGCAATAATAGGATATAAAAAAGGACATGAAGCATACCTATCATCAGTAATTGAAAACACAACTTTGCTCTTGTTGTTATCAGCATTGATTTGGGTTTGAGAAATCTTGATCACTCCTCCAAGAATATCTACAATAATTCATGTGTTATATACTATATAGATGTATATACATTTAAACACATAAATTTTATTAATTAAACTAAAATTCATTAATAACATACCAACCAAAACATTAGACTCAATTTTTCCTTCAAAAATGGTACCCAAATGAAAAATGTTCAGCTAATTCATAGGAATATCAGGGAGTTCTGCCTTCTTAATAGAAGTTGACCCACAAAACACCAACTTGAAACTATGAGTAGTGGACTTAAAAGAGAAATCATTGTTTGACACTTTGAAATTATGCATTATGTATGAACATCCAGTAGCGAGATGTTCCTTGAATTTCGAAACCAAGAAGGGTGGCATAATGACTTGAATCATATCTCGCTACAATAAATGAACATACAAAGTTAGTATCACAGACATCAACATTTCAAATATAAATTAAGAACATAAACACTGCCAAAATACCTTAGAATCAACCAAAATCATCTCAATATGTTCCTTTTTCGAAGCACTCATCACATTCAACAAATGTTTTCACCTAACAACTATCTTCCATAAATCCTTTGACTCATTGATATCCTTTACTGATTCAATTGGGCGAGCCATTGATGGTGATATATCCTGTAACAACAACATGAAAAAATTAGAATCAGGTGTTGTTGAAGCAACCACATAAAACTGTAACAATAACATGAAATCATTTTCCCTAATCAGAATAACAAAACTGTAACAACAACTGAAAAACATTAAATTACAATTTCGCATGTGAAGCAAACAAATATTCTTCAAACAAGATCTGAAATATTCAACATCATATGAAGAAATTTAACCTAATTAGTTTAACAAAACAAAAACCATGAAATTGGGGTTGAAACCATCAGCTTAACAAAACAAATCCATGAAACTGGGGTTGAAACCATCAATTTAACAAAACAAAATCCATAAAATTGGGGTTGAAACCGATAAGATTTATGACACAAACAGAAACAACGAATCGACAAATTTCATGGATTGGCGTTGACTACCTGAGTATTGCGAACACTTGAAGATTAGAGAAAGGATGGATTGGGGTTTGAAGAGATACAATGGCGGATATTTATGGTTGGGTAGTGAGGAACCGAAAGTTGAAAGGGTGTGTTTCTCCATTGTTGGAAGTTGTGGTGTTGATGGATGCTAATCAATATACATGCATTGTAATTGCAAGTGTTCTGCACTGTGGCCTCCTCGTTTGCAAAAGAAAAACTAATTGTACATAATGTAAATTACTGCTGCACTCCAACGTTAATAATGTAATTAGGTTTTTTTAAAAATAAATTAATTATAATTAGTGATTAAAAAAATGCTGTGAAAATGTATTGTGTTGACACACCAATGTCATTAAATGCCAAAACAATATGGTGATAGGAGTAGTTCAAAAAGCCTAATTTGCCCTTAGTGGTTAGTTTAAATATTATTTTAATTAGAGGACATTAAGTGGATTTTCAGATACTTTAAAGTTTATATATTTATATTAGATACAAATATTAACATTTTTATCTCTTAATGATACATTTACTATTTAATATTTCTACAATATTTTTCTGTGATCTATCTAATTTTTTTTAATTCAAGGGGATTTATATTTTAGAATGCTTTTTTAAGAATTAGGTAGAAAAAATACACTTTTAAAATTTAAATATTTTAAAATTAAAAATTGAACTTTTAAAATTCAAGATATTAATAAATACATTATCTATACAATATAATAAAAGAAAATGAGTTTTGGAAAAAGTTTGACACTTGGCAATTTTTTAGAGCCATAGTTATTTATATAATTGTTATTTTTAGAATTTTTCTAAAATTGTCTTCTCTCCATTTTTTCTTACTGATTTCTAATTTATTTTTATTTTTGTTAATCTTTAATAACTATTTAAGTTTCTATTTAACTTCTCAAAATCGTGAGAAAACAAAAACTTTCCACTTTCAATGTCATTTTGAATTTTCACTTTGTTACATGCAGATAGTATTCAAAAGACACATTGGAACTTGGAGTAGCACATATTGGTTGCTGAACTATTATTATAAATCACATTGATAGTAATGAAAGACAGGACACTGTCTTTTCAATTTTCCCTCATTACTCTCTTTCCACTCCCAACCCAAAACCATCTTCTTCTTCTCACTTCTCACTCTCACCAGTAACAACCTTCACTACCTTCTCATAAAGGACCTAAAAAACAATTTGGTAATTCCTCAATGTTCCCCTCAATTCGAGCTCAAAAATCAAATATCACCAATGTGTTGCAGCTTCTATACCTTGATATTTGTTGTTGTGCAAACATTTTATGAATTCCTGAATCGAAAAAATCACTCATACCCTTAATGTTGACGTTTCTTCATACCCCTGCTTTAGTTGTTACATTTTATTCAATAATTAGAATTGACCATTTAGTTTCATATGCATGGAAATAATTTGCTACTTTCATATAGCTATTGATTATTTCTTGTTGATTTGCATGTGATATACAATGGTTCTTTTATTTGATGAGTGATTTGTAAATAAATGACTTCTATTTTGGATAGGTGCATGATATCACTTCATTAGGTCGATTGATCCATGTAGCTGGTCTTATATACTAACTATTTTGTACGCACAAAATTGAGGGATTTCAAGTACGATCTTTTAAGAGAGAATTTCATAATTCCCCGTTGTCACGCGTCTTTGTCAAAGACACTGATCTACAATTTTGTCACTCAAATTTATCGCTCCATGTTATTATCTATTGCTCTTTCTTGACGCATTTTACAGAAGTATATCAATCAAAGTTGATTTAAGGCTAGGTTTTGCAGAAGAAAAAGGCGATGGGATTGTACTGTTTTATTCCTTTTTAGTGCAATCATTCTTGCTGGAGTGCTATGTGTTTTTATTCTTTTGAAGCTTTGAAATCTGAAATATATGTGCTTCATCTATGCTTCCTTCAGGTTTTTATTATTGGAGAAACATCTTCTTGATTTTAATTTTGCTTTATGTAATATGATGTCGATTTCTAGTATGCAATCCATCCAAGGTTAGTTGTTGATTTCATCTCATTTCTATTATTGTATGAGTTTATAATTTAAATTTTCGAGTTTATAGTTTTAATTTGTTCTTAGTTAACTTTGTGTAACATGAATATCTAATGGCTTATATGCTTTGTTTAAGTTTGTTTTAGGTTCCATTTGGTTTTGGTCCCATCACATAACTTGTGCTTTTACTGATTCTTCAAAGTTCACAGGGTATTCTTGGTTCTAGCTACTAAGTTAAGAGTGAAAAGTTGTTTACAACTTACATTACAAAAAGAATTGCGTGGTGTTTTTCTTTGAGGCTCTATTTGAAAATGTCATGAGGCTGAATCTACCATTCAGTTATGTATTGAGGGGCAAGGTTATGAGGTTGCAGCTGGCCTAGTATAGTTGGAGTCGTTAAGCATATTTGTATCAAGGGTTTATTGATTTTTTGCTACTTCCGGAGAATCGCATGATGGTTTGTGCATCGTGGATTGGTGGACTGTGAAAACTTGTAGTAGATTTCTTCTTGCCTTGCAAGAGCAGCCAAATAACATCTTCCGGAATGATTATCTGCATTCTATTGTGAAAGTCTATTGTGTTTGTCTTATAAATGTTTTGAATCTGGTTTTTTCTTACAGCATGAAGCAATTGATAAGAAGTTATACCTTGATATGCTTAGGCTCTTTGCACATGGAATATAGAGTGACTACAAGAGTAAGAATGTGTTACTTGAGCCTGGAAACTCAATGGAACATTATCGCCAGAAAATGAAATTGAACATTGACGATAATGTTCATTGCCAGAAATCCTACTTCTTATGTGAGAACAAAGGTTTCAAAATCAAAAATTGGTCTTATGTGAGTTTCTCAAAAAATCAACAGTGTGTTTGTGGAAAACTATTGAAACGAGAAAGACCATGGATTTTGTTTCAAGAAAATTCCTTTGTTAAGGTAACTTCCACTTTTATTGTTTTTGATGATCTTAATGTGATGCCAAATGTTGTTGGAACAAATTTAAAATTACTTCAAAAGCTATGAGTCAATGACATGGGCACTGTTAATAAACAAACTTTCAATATCAGCAACAATGAGGTACCTCTTTTATCAGCAACAATGTGGTACCTCTTTTATTCTGATTTTTTTTTATATTTAAAATTTAAAATTCATTTTTGAAATAGTGAAAATATTTTTTTAATCTTTGATTTAACTGGGTGCTTGATATTTTAAAGTTGTCCCTGATATCAAAAACACCTTGACAGAATTTATATTTAAAAGGGAACGATATGTTTCTAATTTAGACCCAAGAAACAAATTGGAGTTTTGGGTTGGAGATGTCATGGAAAATTCTAATGAAATGGTTGTGAAAGTAGTAAGAAGAAAATCAAATGATCAAATTATGTATGTTGAAGCTGAGGAAGATTTTGCGGACTATATCTTTAGTTTTTTAATCATTCCCTTGGGAAGAGTGTTGCATATGCTCAAAGGATTCTCTTTTTTATATTGCGTTAATTCTTTATATAAAAGCATTATTGAGTTAAATTTAGACATAATTGTAAAGTCAAACGAGGTAAATGACAAACTAATCAAGCTAACTATTCATTGGAAATTTCAACTCAGATATCAAATATTACTGATACATGACGATAGTTACGATAGAACTAATGAACGAGTTAATTTTGTTGATTATAATTCCCCTGTTGCTGGAGGATATGTGTTATACCCCAATTTCCCCCCCTAAGATCTCTCATCTCATATCATCAATACATTAAGATCACACATTAGGGTTTGGTTGTGACTTCTACCCTCTCCTACCTTTGGGTTTTCCCTAAAGGGATCACCTAGAACCTTGATTTATGTATCTTATACATGTGTATCTTAAGTTTGATTAACTCTTAGCTAACATCAAAATATATGTACATTTGTTCTATGAATGTTTATATTGTAGGTGACGACACAAGATGATTTCATGAGTTTATTTCCATGCCTTCTTCAATAAGCTTTATTGAGATTCAAGCTTCATATTTGAATTAACTTCAAGATAATCTCATTTCAAGGCCTAATGTGATTCATCATGCTCTATTTTGTCAAGAAAGATCAAAAGATGCAAGATTGACTCGAAAATTTTGACCTAATTTGGATAAGTCCTTGATTCTTTGATCACAAGTGTAAAACTCTCTCAATTTTAAACATATGGAGTTAGTTCTTTTTGTTATGGATTCTTATCATCATCCCCATTGGTTCTTCTTCATATGACAATAACCAATTGTGTAAAGAATATCATCAAAAGTTGAAGAAGATTATAGGTCATCTTGTATTTTGAAGATTTAGGGTTGTTCAACTTCAAGAAGTCATAACTTGGTCAGTTTTTATCACCTTGAGCTTATTCTTTTTCCACAGTGTTCTTAAGGATGTGAACTTCACCTCTTCTTTTATGTGCAAAGCTTGAAAATGGTTATAAGATGCCTTAAGAGCTCAAAAGATTATAGGTAA